TTTTCCCTTAATAATAAAAACCTTCATTTAAAAACTGCATTTTGTGTTTACTTGTGTTATCTTTGTCTAATATTTCAATTTGTTTGATGATCTGAAACAATTCAGTGTGACAAACACGCAAAAAAAGAAGAAATCAGGAAGGGGGCAAACATTTTTTCACACCACTGTATAAAGGTATTTGAGACCATTCCTCCTTACAAAAGTCCTTGGTCCTCGCTTGTGGACTCTCCTCTTCAGCTCACCCTACATGTTTTCAATGGGGTTTAGGTCAGGGGACTGGGATGGCCACTGCAGAAGCTTGATTCTGTGGTCAGTGAACCATCTCTGTGTGGATTTGAAGGTATGCTTTGGATCATTGTCCTGCTGGCAGATCCAGCCGCGACCTAGTATTGGCTATCTGGATGTGGTTAATGCGGTGATACAGAAATGCAGTGGAAATTTAGTGGCAGTTTTATCATCATATGACCAAGGGTGCCAGTAATTCTGGAGGGCACTGTACATAAGACATTAAGGCTGATTGTGAATACCTACAAAACTAAAATCATGGCTAAGAGCAAGGACAGAGAAGACAGGGTGAAAATAAAGCTAAAAAGAGATAACCTAGAGCAAGTAAAGAGTGCCACATACTCAGAAGGACAGATTGCAAGTAATAGGAATTAACAAGAAGATATCAAATCAAAGGTTGCCAAACAAATGTAGATAATGATAAAAATGAGACAACTGTGCAGGGGACTGGCATAAGTATTGGTACCAAAGTAATGGACATGCCATAAATACTCTATGAATTGGTGACAAAAATGCTGTCATAAACTGCAAAGAATGAATAACAAACACATAGGCATAAAGAGAAGAAGTTGGCTGTTGTACACGACTGTGAAGGGAACGGTGGAGATGAACACTTTGCAGAAAAATCGATAATACGAGAAGGTTTCAAGTTAAGGCAGAAATCAGTAGCCAAAGGTAGCAGGATGAAACAACAGCTAGGTTTTGACACTTAAAAGCTGGCAAACAGCAACGATGATGAACACACAGAAGAATAATGCAAAAGAATTACTTCTAGTTTCTGGACATTTTGGCCAAACACCTGGTTCCCTCTGCCAAGAAGTTCAAGTTTGGCCAAGGTAGACATTCAAGATGACATTAATCCAAAGCATCCATCCACACCAATATAGAAATAATTAAAGCAAACTAATATTCTCAGACCTCAATCCAGTCACATATTTGTGATTTGAACTCAAAAACACAGTTCAGAAATGGACACTATATCCCTCAGACTTTATACCGGAATTCTGCCTAGAGGTATGGTTAGAAATCCTCTCTCAGAAATGCCAGAACCACCTAGCACACAACATGAGGCATCAGTGTAATCCCTGCCAAAGGAAGATTTACAAAATACTAAACACATGGGGTATGAATAAATCTGATAAATCTGACCTGCATGTTTTCTGGACTTAATTTATTTATGCTAAATATCACTTAGCTCTTTGCAGTGCTTTTTAGATTACAGTGTAATATTTTTAGAATCTTTTGTAAAGAAATTTGATGTAATCTATAGAACCTTCTATATATTGTATTTACTGTATATACTGTAGCTTGGTAAATTAGACAGTCATGTCTGTGCACCATGTGTCCCAGTTCTTGTGTCTGCATCATCTTAATATTTGCATATTCTTAATAATTGCATCAGGCATACAGTATAAACTCTCAATTCTGTTCTGCATGTCCCAGGGAGGAGTGGACCAGAAGATGCCTCTGGTGATCTCACGGGTCAGTGCAGACTCACCGGTAAGAGCAGCTGAAATAGTAATAAACTGTAGAAATCAAAACAATAAAATGCAAAAGTGAAATTTGATTCTGTCCAACCAATTAAGATGGACTTGCACCACTGAAACAGGCAAATGATTTTTTTGTGAATGGACTGAACATTAAGCCAAAATCCTAGTTAAAATGTTTACAATGGAAAAAATACATGTAATCTTTCCATTCCAGTTGGTGCAGCCTAGCAAAGCAGTTTGCTGACAGAACAGAAACAGCACAGAGTGTCCGTGCACTGTTGGTTCCTGATTAACCAGAAGGTTACACAAAAATTCAGTTTTAATGGCATTTAAATGATCATTTCTTTTTTAGCCTTTTAATTGCGTTTCACACCTTGTCCTAGCTTCAGGTTCACATTCTATCTTGGCTGCATTCCACATGTAGTTAATGCGGTATTACAGAAATGCGGTGGAAATTCAGTGGCAATTTTATTATCACAAGAACAAATTCCTAAAGTGGTAGTAATTTATAAATTTGTGGTTGTTTTAAAAAGTTCAAAAATGCCATCATTCATATTTCATTAATTAAATTATCGATGCTTTATGCACAAGAGGAATAGGAATAACTGCTCTATGAGAGGACTAAGTTTAACATCAACCGCCAATCACAACTTGCATTCCGACCTCTTAATGGTGACTTTTTTGTTCGCTAGATGCCTTTCCTATTGCCCAATACCTAAGTACTAGAATCTCTTCTCATGATTTGAATCATATCATAATTCAAACCTATGGTTCCTGTTTCATGAATATATTAAGTACTTGTACTCCTAACAGACAAAAGTATCTACTTATATTAGACCAGTTAAGTGTTTTAAACCAAGTCAAGTTAAAGGAGAGTTTATTTCCTCCTCTTTTTTTGCCTTGAAAAAGCTTTTTTGTTGTACAGTATGTCCACAGGATGCAAGCGGATCAGTTTCTCTCAGTCAAAATATAAAATCAAATCACTGGAGGCTGACAATTACCTAGGCCAGCAGCAAAGCAGTGACATAGTGAACATGAGATGGTTCCTAAGGCAAGACATTCAGATATATCTTCTGATGTGCTGTGTTATTTTGAACTGGTAATATACAACATTGGTCAGGCAGACTTGTTAATGTGTATGGACAGTTAATGAAGTAATTTATTCCTTCTCAGCAATATTTTGTATTTTTGTGTTACAGGCTGGTAAGTGTGTCCCCAAGCTTCTAGAAGGAGATCAGATTGTCCTGATTAATGGCCGAGATATTTCTGAGCACACCCACGACCAAGTAGTGATGTTCATCAAAGCCAGCCGAGAGTCACACACCAAAGAGCTTGCACTACTGGTCAGGCGCAAAGGTAAGCAATTCCACTGGAATGCAACTGCCTAGGAAATATAATGGCTCATAGCACATTATCACCTTTAAGTGTTTTCAATACTTTGCAATTGTCATGATTAATGTGAGAACAGAGCAATAATGATATGACTGAGGAAAAGAAATGGAGAATTGTTATATTTATTTTTCACAAGTTTCAACATCTGATCTCTTGAATTGGCACTCTGACTACATCTGTCATACAGTATATGTTAAATCAGCAGACAGATGAAGTATGTGAAAACTCAATGTTTTGTTTAAGCACTTTACACTTGACACCAAATCCTTGAGAAATATTTTCTCATAACCATGTAATCAGATTGATAGACTGCTCTAACAGTCATTTTTCGGTAAGCAGCTGGAGCTGAATGCTACAGATGAGTAGTAAAACGTAAAGATTATGGACAGCTTGATGCTGGAAGCAGAAGTGAAGCGGCTCGCGCTGAGGAAGGGTATGTTAGTCATACAACTCTCTTGCTCGTCTCTGGTTTGCAGTGGTCAGTCTGCACGTGGTGCCACGACCAGAAGATGATGACCATTGCTCTTTGCCGGGAGACCCCATCTTGCCCCCCTGCACACATTACGGGGAAACCCTGGAGGAGTCAATGGAGCAGCTGAAGAGGGGTCTGCAGAGTGGGACACTGCTGATTCAGTTTGAGGTGACAGGAGCAAGACGAAGAGTTTGTCTTTAGCCAGAATCTCTTCTCACCCAAATTGTTTTTTGTTGATCAAATATGCATCTCAAATTGCAGTGGTAGTCTGTTAAGCGGCAGATATGAACTGCAATAAAGACAGATGCAGAAGCATTTACTTCCAGTTTTATGAAGTATCAGATGTTTTGAGTAGGTTATTGATCATATTGCAGATGGGAGTGTAGAAAAATGTTGGTTGTCAGTCTGAATAATAGGACACGGACAAACAGAGGATAGATTATATTGGTCTGATTAGTGGACTGTGACCTCCATCATAATGAAAGTATGTTGATGTTCTAAAGCCATCTTGACAGATCAAGGATATTCAACTGTAAAGTATATTTTAATATGTTTTATGTTGGCAGTTTAATTATTGTAAATGGTTTTATACAGATCAGTTGTATTGGAACAATTGAATGAAACAATCGAAATGTAACGATAATAGTGAAGATCTCTTCAGGAAGAAAAACACAAATATATCAGAAAACTACCTGTGTACTGTACTGATAATACAAATAGTTCTATTGATGACAATGTCTTGTGCAGCGTTTTCCTGCCATACAGACTTAATGAAATGAAGGCTTGTGTCTTATATGGGGAAGCATTTCTCTGCTTTGTTTTACATGAATAAAGAAAAAACTTGGGAATGAATATCTGTCTGGCGATATCTGTTGTATATAATGTAAGAATAAATTAAATGTTTTTTTTTTGTAGCAACTATACAGAAAAAAGCCTGGGATGGCAATGTTGTGTGCCAAATTACCTCAGAACATGGAAAAAAACAGATACAAAGATGTGCTGCCATGTAAGTTTTACTGTCTGTACTCAACTACTATCAGTTTGTTCTTACTACTGTAGTTCTACTAGTATTATAACCAATGTGAATTTATGGTTGCGTATAACTAATGGCTGCAGAGTAGCATTGTTACAAGTTCGCTTGAATTTTAAAAAAGTACTTGAAAGTATGAGCTGTGGGAATTTCATCAATACTCTATTTTCTTTTTTTCATTTTCTGTAAAAAAAATGTCTTGTCATTAATCCTCCAATTATTTTTTAGCTGGTTGAAAAGAATAATGTCCCATTAACCATAATATCACATTGTTAGGCAAACAAAGATGTAACAATATTGCTTTGAATGTCAGCTTCATTTTCTCTTCTGTACCTTATATCTTAAAGCAAAACAGATTATCCTTTTCTCTGTGTACATTCATTTTTGTTTCTCCTTAGATGACACCACGAGGGTGGTTTTGGAGGGGGAGGAGGATGATTATATCAATGCCAATCACGTTAATGTAAGTGCTGTATTCTTCCCGTTAATGAAGATGATAATTACTGTGATGAGGTATAGTTCTGTTATGTGTTTATCAACTGCAGCAACTTAGAGCTTCTCTTTGAAGCTTAAGACTACCTTTCACAGGGGGGATACACTCTCAAACATGTTTTTGGAAGTAAGGAGAAAACTCAGAGCATGAATTTGTGAACCCATATGAAAACAGAGGTTGTGCAGACTGCCTCAGTCTGGACTGAAACCAAGACCCAAGAGATAAGAAGTAATTGCCACTCCACTGTTTTGCTTGTGCTGAGAACAATCCTGGTTTAAATGATCACAGTAACCATTTTCCAGGCTGTGATACATTAAACAATTCAGAGATTTGCAACACAAAACTGAGTAACCTTTAATCATCAAATTCTATAGTTCTCTTAATTGGACAAATTATTGCTTAAATTATCCATAATAATTTATATCCAACGTGCTTCCAACCTTTAGCATCTGTGTTCCCAATATTTAGAATCAGAGGACTATTTGGAATGGGAGTGTATTTGACCAGGTTTGGAGAATTGGAATTGGAGACCTATTCCTTAAGAAGCCTGATCAATAAATGTGTAAATATAAATTTGTAAAGAGTGTAGCTGGATTTAACTAATAGTTAAATGTTGTAGTGTTGTAATCCTTGTTGATTGAAGGGATTGAAGAGAGGGAAAACAGTAGCTGCTAGGTCAGGGGTTTGAAGTTTGGTTTGGCTCATCCTATTCTTAATGCTGGAAGTTTGTTTGTTTGGAGCTGCTCCCCATCTGCATGGATTTTATGAACATCTATAAGTGTTCCCAGCAGCCCATGGAGGACACTTTGCACAGTACCCAGGGAAACATTGAATTTGTTTGCAATAATAGCAAGTTTCACACATTTCTCCTTCCTAATTATGCCTTCAATGTGGCAGATATTCTCTTCCATGGAGAATGTGCTTGAGTTCCCATCCCCATGTTCTTATGTGAGCGGAGGAGGATAATGATATTATAGTACTCTGTGTATTCAGACCTACCATTTCATTTCATTTTCTACCATGAGAGATTACCTTTCCTACCTTTGTCAGATTTGATGTGTGTAAAGGGTGCATTGTAAACCAGGGAGATAAACACCTGTGGTGTAGAATGTTTTCAGGAAAAGTTGGACATTTCAGAGAAACTAGAAGGCAAAGATAACTTTGCCATATATAGCACAATAGTATTTCTAATAGTCTGTATGTTGAATTAAAAGTTATGCTGGCCTTAAGTATTTGCTGAAGAAGTGTCTCTAAAACTGACATTTACGGTAAAAGAGATGTTTTAATGTTTATAAGATGGTGGTAAACATCTACATGAAGAGCAGATAGGGAGAGATAAATGTATGGCTTTTCGTAAAACACCTAAAAACTATTTTCAAAAGTTTACTAATATTCAATGTGACTTCCTCACTGTGACTTCCCTACACCTTATTGAAATACCTTTATGTTTGAGAGGGAAGGATATACTGTATGTTGTGGTGGCACAGTAGTTAGCATTGCTGCTTCTCACCATTTGGGACCTGGGTTCAGTTCCTGGGGCACTATCCGTGTGGAGTTTTTTCCCTGTGTTTACGTGGGTTTTCTCTGGGTGTGTCGGTTTCCTCCCACAGTCCAAAGATATACAGGTAGGTTAATTGGCATCTGGGAAACTTGACACTGGTCTGAGTCTGTTGCCTTGTAATGGACTGGTGTACTGTCCAGGATGTATCCCGCCTCACACCCATTGCTTGTTGGGTTAGCCTCTGGCTCCTTTGTGAACCCTGAATTGGATGAAATGATTACAAGATGGATGAAGGGATATACTATATTTTTGTGTTTAGTGAACCCTTGAATGTGACTATTTAAATCCTAGAAGTGTGATTAATTCTGCCCATAATTAATTTGGTTGGTTGATGCCTGGAGCACTTTTCCCAGCACGATCCACATAATCAGTAGTTGTTTTTCAGTGGATATTTTGGGATGAACAAGTTTATAAGTCACATAGTGAAGCTGTGCATTTCCGCACTTTTTTAAAGCAGCCTTCTGCCAGGTCTTCAATATAAAGCTCAAAGGCCTGCAGTCCTTCAGATTTTAATCTCTCATTTGGGTGGTATCTATGTGCAGACTTAAAGCAGCAGCAAACCTCTTATTATGAGTAAACCCAATGAATTACTTCTCTTATAAAAAGAAAATATGACTAGGATGATAGTAGGAGTAGAGATTTAGAAATCTCCATTTATATATAAATATAACATCTGGCTTGTGGACTGATAGCAGGGTGGTTAAACATGACTGCTCTTGGTTTGAGCAACAGAGAACATTATTTCAAGAAAGTGATTTCTTTCTACTGCTAATATTATTTTTAATAACTCAAATATAAATAAAAAAGAACCTGGAATTGACTTCACTGGCAAAATAATGGGGATGTTGTTGTGCTCCAGATAAAATTGTTTAGGTAATGTAAATGTGCTCAACCGTCAAAAGCAGTTGTGAGAAATTAATGCAAACATCATATAATGTGTTTGAATGGTAGGACAGTGATGAAAAGATATAACAAAATCCATTCATACCTGCTTTGAGTACTAAATCCATGTTCAGGTGGAAAGATACCAGGTGAACAAAAAATATACCATGCATTGTCTGCTGAATGGGCAAGTACAGTATGCTTCTTGTGTTACTGATTAATAACAAGAGTAGTACTCTCTTTTCTGCTGAAAAAAACAGAGATGCAGTACATCTTTATGGCACATTCCAGACTTAAAATGTTCCACATCTACAGAAATATTTGAATCCTTGAATAAACTGAATGGCAAAATAAGCGCTCAAGCTTGAGTATTTCTGTTTTGCGTTGGAAATGATGTGAGTGTGGCAGTATTACTTAGTTTCAGACTCTTGCACTAAATCATTTTGTCATGGAACAAAATTAAATTGTCAAATATTTGGAACTTACTCCAGCTCTCCACCTCTTGGGTTATTTTTACAAAACCTCGTACTAGCCTGAGAAACATATGAACTACACCGTGCGTACAACATGCAAGATGTGCATTATCAGCCTGTTCCCTGCTTCTTCTACTATGGGAAGCCTTGGCATTGGTTTTATCTAGTGTTTCTTTTTCAGATGGAGATTCCTTCTGCTGGCATTGTGAATAAGTATGTAGCAAGCCAGGGCCCCCTTCCACACACCTGCAGACACTTCTGGCAGGCTGTGTGGGAGCAGAACTCTGCCATCATCGTGATGCTCACTACCTTGACGGAGCGTGGCCGGGTAGGTACAGCCCATAACTGAAGGGGCATAGAGATTACAGCTGTTCGTATATGCAGGTTGGTTTGTGTAATAATCTAATAATTAACTAGAAATACATTTATTAATTTCTGCCTTTGGTATTAGCTAAAGAAAAATAACAGAAACCAAAAAATGTACTCTGTAACAAATTATTTTTCTAGATTTTAGGTTTTTGACTGTTCTGAATTGTTGGTTTGGCTAATATGCAAGGTGCCCTTACAGTCAGATTTGGAAGGAATGCTTGTGGGTTGGCTGGCATTGTGCTTGCAATGATTTGCCCAAAGTGCAAACCATACAGGTGCATTTTTCCCACAGAAACATCATTACAATGTCACCCATGTTCCTGTCTCATCATCAGCTGCTTTCAGAAATAAATATCAACATTTATTGAAAGACATCTACTATGTTGGTGGGAGCAATAAAGTTTGCTTGCATATGCACTTCTGCTTGGATGTTGCTTGGCAACTACAATCCCATTACCAGGAACAGAAAATTCAGTTGGTGCTTTCATTAAAGAAGAGCTTCTTCAAAATAACTTCCTACCATTTCATGGCCACTGCTTAACAACTGGAGGCATCTTTTGTCTGCTTTTAATTATCTCATTCTGGAAAACAAGAATTATAAATAAGTATTTCATTTGCTGAAAGAACAATGACATCAATACTCAACCATTAACTTGCTTTTGTTGTACAGATTTGCATTTATGTATTAAAGAAGGAAAGACCACACCATTGCAGTTCTTTTTTTCATACTTACAGTATGTTTTTACGTTTTAATTGAAAACTAGCTGTGCTCACTGATAATAACCTTTTGTATTAGAATTTAAAAATGCAGGATGTGTAGCATCACTCTGTCAATGTCTTTGGAGGAAAGGTCAACTTTAATTAGAATTTTTTTTCTTTTTTCAAAGGAGACATTGGGTATTTCTCTTCCTGATTTTTCCTGCTAAAAGCTGGCAGATGAGCCTTTCTGGGGTGTGGCAGGCACAGAGGTGTGGAAAAGTTAATGTAGAGGCTTTAACGGTCAACAACATAAACTGAGGTGTCTTACTATCTGCTGGCAGTTTAACCAGTGCTGAAATTGTCAGCCTGGTTCAAAGTAGTATTGTAAAACTTAACTATATTATCTTAACTATGTTATGACCTCTTAGTTACTGTATGTATGTGGGGATTTTAAGTTTCCAGTCCTGCACCCAAACTTCCAGTTCCAAACTTCTTTTGGTTTTTCAGTTTTCTGTTTATACTCTAGCTGTAGCCTGCTGAACATGACAGGAAAGGCAATATTCACTGTAATTGTATTATGCTGTTCAAATACATGCTGAGGGACCTGTATCTAAAACACGTAGATACTAGAACCTCCATTTCCTAACTGTGAGATTAAAGTTCCCAAGTGTTAAAAGTATATCCGCAAGAGTTCATTACCATTTAATAAAACAGAAATGTTCATAGGTAATACCCTTGCTTAACTTTTGAGTTTTTTTTTTTAGGTGATCTATAATTTCTGAATATTGCAAGACAATATTTTTCAGCAATAGGTCATCTTCCTTATTATCTTTGTATTGTTTTTTTTACTTGACATTAGTTGTTCAATGTCTTTAGTTAAAAGTCTGAGCATCTAAAGAAAATTAACACTCAAATCTACAACAAATTTACAGTTTACCTGGAAAACTGCCAAAATTGGAGCAGATGCAGTTTCTTGGGCAGAAAGGGCATATATAAATGTATTTCTCATCAACAGGTGGTCTGTTAAGTTCAGTTGTATGACTGCCTTTGGTAGCAGGCTACCATACGAGTTGTATATCTGCAACGCATGCTTTGCACCAGATAGCAAATCCTGTCTTGTGGGGGTCTGTTCAATTCCTTGGAGCCAGGGTGAGAAGGTGCCTTTCTACTGATCCTAGGTCCACACATTATCTCAGATCATCCCACAAGTGTTCAGTGGGGCTCAAGTCTGGCGAGGAGGACACAGCAGTCACATTCTCATCTCACAAAAAAGCTGTTGTTCCTTGAGCAACATGAGGAAGGATATTGTCCTGTTCGAGTCATGTTACATGAGGATCAGCTGGAGAAAAGATTGCAAGTGAGTTTCCAGACCTTAAAGAATTTACAGAAGTGCTGTACAGTTGTTGCCATCAGCTAGTACAAGTAGGGACTCCTTCCCAGACCATCACAATTAGATGACTTGTATTCCATCTTGAGGATATGTCATGACTCGTCTTCCAGACTGTGGCCAATCATTGATGGACTGAGTTTAACTGTAATATGTTGCCAACTTGGAAATTTCACACTACAGATGGCAAGCAAGAGTGCATTAACCTCCAACATGCCAAAGGCATGAACCCATTGTTCTCTCATTGAGCATATTGGATCCTTTCTGTTTCTTGATTTTCATCAGGTTTTAAAATTGGCTCCCATAGGTTTTAAATGGCTCCCAATCAGCACTCTTGCTAAGAGTTGATTTATTGCATATGCAACAAAGTCACTCAGAAGTATCCTAGTCAGTCGTGAATGATCCATTAATCAAAATGACCCTAAACAATTTTAATCCGTATCCAACATGTATTTTTCTAAAAACATGCATGCATAAAGTGCATAGTTTCCTTTCATGCTTCATATACAGTATACAAATATTTTGGAATATTATGAAGATATTTAAATTTGCCACTTTATGAAGTTTACCACAAACTTAAAAACTTATGAGTAGAATTTACTCTGCAGAACCAAACCTACTGTACATAGTATACTTCACAAATGTTAAATCTTTGTTACTGACACAAATGAAAACCCTTTGCCTATGTGACCAGCATGACACTTAAGTGTATAAAGGTGTATAAGCAAAGAAGGTTCAATGGAGACACCTGTCTGAGCACTGAAGGACAGGTTTAAAGTGGCTGAAAGCTAAAGTCACTGTTAACAGTCAGTCATCCTATGCTGTTGCAGAACATCAGTGCCAGCTGAAAATGTGGGTCCTTGTTCTAGTGTTTGTTGTTTTCTTTACCATTACCAGTGCAGGTTTGTTGGGACAACAGCTTGACACGGGACAAGTTCAGTATCTCTACTCTGCTTCAGTAAGAGAAACAAATTAGTAATTGCATAATAAGCAGACATATCTGTGTTATAATCAGTCCAATTTCCTCTCTGGATGCTTCTTTCAACCAACATAGTTGTACATTTGTTTTCACTTTCTGGATGCAAAGCTCAGATTTTCACAACTCCCTTGTTGGTGTAAAGAAGGCATATCCACTTTCCCAGAGGGCTGTGGAATCTTTTAGTTTCTGTCCAAGCTTAAGACCAGTCTTAATGTAATCAAGTTATCTGTACAGATTTTTCAAGGTCTCTCCCTCTTATATGGAAAAGTATTATGTCAAGATTTATGTAAAATGTTGAATTCTGGAAACAAATGTGAAACCTGTCACACCAGTTAATAAACCAAGTGTTCAGGTGAAATACAGTAAGAGAAAAGTCATGCTGAGATGATAATATGGAGTACTTGTCTAGGCTCTAGACCCCAGAACACATGTCCAAAAACTGGGAGTGACACTGTTGTAGTACCCATGAATACTTGGAAAAGATACAAAATGTATAAGACAAAACTATTAGGAGTGTTTTAGTGCTAAGTGGTGTTTTGTGGGAAAGTGTACCGTGGCTAGTGGCTAATAGACAGGCTGAAGTGTCAGATGTCATGGTGTAAACTGAGGGAGAATAGGTTGATATAATTTAATGGGAATCACAGGGATCTGAATTGGACTATTGTTCTGCATAAATTTTGTAAAATTGTCTAAATTCTGTTATATTAAGCACATGTGTGATGCTTGCAGATAATACCTAATTAGGAGAATTAGAAAACACTGTATTCCAAAAGAAATTCAAAATGATTTAAATACTGACAAATACTAGGCAGGTCACCTGAAATGTAGCCAACCGCATAGTATTAAATGCAGGTTTCAAAAACAAAGTACAAATAGAAAATGTGAAAGTGCTGAGCATGAAGAAACATATGAGAGACCTAAGTGTTTTTGGATAAATCATTAATGTTTTCTAGACAATGTTGTCCAGACTGTGGGGAATTGTGCATTCCTCAAAGGAGTATACTTCTCTGACAAGCTGAAGAAAACTGGACAGAGAGAATATAGGAAGGGACACCCAATTCAAATATTAAACTGAGACCAGAGGACACATGAAAATTAAAGGAAATGCTTTTAAAACTGAGAACAGTCAGCTCTGTTTTACATGAAGGGCTGTTGGAGTCTAGAATAAGTTAGCCATCTTGTTGAAGCCAATGTCATCCCTACTTTTAAGAAATGGATGAGATCAATTGGCTACTAGAAACAAAATAAGCTAGATGGGCTGAATGGCCTCTTGTAAACTTTGTTCCTATGTTATGCAGAAGCGTAGTGTAACTGTAGATCTAGTTTTGAATTTAGAAGAGATTCCCCTCCTCCTGTGTCTTTTGAGAAGCTACGTTGTCTAAGCTCTGAGTTCTGTTCTGTATTCATGAATGCTGCCCACTTGCTATGCACCTGTAATCCAGCAAGTAAATCAAAAGGGGGAGCTGACGGGCGATTGGGCTGCTTTGTAAATCTGCAAAATTATTGATTGCTCCTTGGCTAGTAAACAGAACTTGTGATAGCTAAAATTCTCCCTGAGGCAGCTCATAAAAATGGTTCATCTGTGTTGTCTGGAGAGTGTCTCATTCTTCAGATGTAGTTACTATGCTCCTCGCGTCCAGGACTGAGGATGAGTTTTGGCCAGCCTTTTCCTCCTCTTCCTATTCCTGTTCTCTCTGCAGCATACAGGACGTCCAGTGCATGCTAAATAAACTGTGCTTGTGCTCTTGTGTGTGAAGGCTCCCTGCTTTAGGTGTCTTTCCTTTTTACAATCAGGAACTAAAAGGTCATGGTGGAGTTTACCAGAAATCCTTTCTGTAGCACGTTCTGCTGTAGTTCAGATTCTTGCCAGCTAGTGGCGCTGTAATACACTTAACAAAGAACTTGTGCCACATTGCCCTTTCTTTTTAATGTCACAGACTAGGATTAGAATAAGACCGTTATTCATTGTGTCCTATGCACGGTGACAGGCACAAATTTCAAGAGCAGATACTTAAGTGGTATGTCAAGCTTTATATGCCCCTCTACCAGTCACACACTCTTTTTTCTCCACTGATGGTTCAAAATTACAGCAGTTCACCAGCCCTATAACACTGTTTGCATGACGCTGAAGGAAGTTTAAACTGTAGCCTAAGAATTATGATAAATTTTGGATATTTTGGATGGCATTGAAATCAGGGATGAGCTGATGGGGGTGATTTTACAGAATACGCTTCATGCATCCAAGGTTTGTGAAGTACTGTACAACACTAAAAAACAATGTAGAAATGTTGTCCTGATTGAAGAAATCAACCATGTTGAATGGGATTAAAATCTCAAATGTGTTTTCACATATGTCTGCTTTCCATACAGGTACATTAAATTAGTATTGAATATACTTCCAAAAAAGGCTCATTTGGAAGTTTCTTTATAAAAAATTCACATGTAAATTTGTATTTAATCTTATTTTAGCCTGATGAGACCAAATACAGTTTAATGCTCCATACATCACCCCATACTTAAAGATATGGGAATAAACATGCTTTGGTTCATGGCTTAATTCAGTGTCTTTTATTCCAGACAAAATGTCATCAGTACTGGCCTGACCCCCAGGAGGTGCGAGACTACGGGCATCTGCGAGTGTGCTGTCACTCAGAAGAGTGCAACATTGCCTATGTCTTCCGGGAGCTGACACTTACAAACACAGAGGTACAAAGCTGCCGTTTCTCCCATCTTTTGATCTTGCAATCTGACTTTTTTTTATTTAGAATCTCCAATTATTTTTTATACCCACCTGATCGAGAAGGGCCATTTGTTTTGCATGTCTAAGCTTGTCGCTACCAAACTCCGTATAGGCAGACTCCTGTGAAACACCCACCTTCAAGCCACTCAGCATTAAACACATCGCAGGCAGCGAGTGATGAGAGCCAAGCTCGAACCCACGATTATAGCGCTCAGAGCTCTCGAGTGAGCGCCCGTACCACATACAACTTTCAGTGGATCCAGCGTACCCCTTAAACATCAGAAAAGCAGTTCTGTTGTCACTGAGATAAAAAAGGTTATTCCTGTTTGAGTTTTATGTGACATTTACAGCCTCAGGTATCCAAGCTCCGAGTGAAATATTGCGGATTGGAAGAAGGTGGCATAGCACAGTTGACACTTTGATTGTCTGGGAAGTGTTTTGCTCTGTTTGACAAGAAGGGTGCCATCATAATGATTGAGTAGTATTGAGCGGCTCTGGTTCTGGTCCTGAAACGTGCCAGACAGCTACTTCACAGTTCTGTCCACCTCTGGAAAGGCTGTGATGCCCAGATGAGGAACTGGCTCTGAATTTTCTGATGTGATCTATCTTAGAAATAATATCTAAACTAATAAAGATCTATCGATAACAACTCTTTTAAATCCAAACAAAAAGCAATCTTTTCTGTTAGTTTTCATGTCCCTTAATTACATTTTTTATAATTTTCTACTTGTATACTTTTCTATTTTTTCATCATTTGTCATATGAAACCTAGCAATGTTGATCTGCTTTGACAAGGATGACTATCAAGGCAGTAGAACATACAGTACAAAGTTTTATAAATAAACAATATGGGACTGACAAGTGACAAGTGTGTTTACAAGGAAGCAGTCTGATATTTTTTGGCATTAGATAAACCACTTGAATGCCCTTCAAAACAGCCAGATGTTGATTTAGAGGCGTCTTAGGTGCGATTTATGTCGAATAGCCTCTTTAATACACCTTGGTGAAAATGAGCCAGACTAAAATTAATTTCTGGGAGCTCTCCCCTGTTCTGTACAAACAAGATCCTACCAGTAAAGTAAACCTGGAACAGAGAAGACCATTATTAGAATGGATCATTCAACATAAGACCTTGCTTCGGGTGTTTGAATTGGTTGATAAACGTAAATGTCAACTATGGCTTTCAAAGGTTCTCATGCTTAAGGTCAGAGTCAAATATTATTAATCATGTAATTATGATGATTAAATCATCAGTAACATGCACAGGTTTGAGCTTGGTTTAGCAAAATATTAAATATATCATAAGGAAATTATTCGAACATCAAAGTAGTTTTAAATAGTTGTGTTATAAGACATGCAAACTTGTCTTTTTCATAACTGCACTGCATGCTGTACAACAGCTTGTGGTTAGCTGCCGTATGAGAGCTCTCACCTTGTATTCTGTGGGTACATGCTTGCTAATCATGTTGTTTTGAAGAGTTTTTTAGTAATTTGAGTTTTGTAAAGATTAAACAATCATGAGCAAAATTGTAATAACATTATAGCCTGGAGCATTATTCATAACGTATGTACTGCGTCTAGACCATTTTATACATTCAAACCCCTCTTTAGTAATATCCAATAGTTTAATCTCTGCTGTGGAAAAAGTCTGAGATTTTTCATTCTTCTGTTCTTTTGCACTATTCCTCTCTTTTATGCAAAAACACAATTCTGTGGTGATCTTCTACTGAAAATGTAATTTTACAATTTAAATGTAAAATGTATATTTTGTATTACAAAAAAGCCCACTTAGCTTTATGTACATGAATAGCAGGACAAATGATGTCAACGATGAGAAACACTTGAGAATGGGTCAATCAGATTTGATCAATTTGATGTATTAGCTACTACAGCACTTCATATTGGCTAACCTATAGATTATGATCTCTTGAGATCTAGAGATCATTTTTTGGAGATTTTGATCATTCTAAATTAAAGATTGCTGAAAAGACACGCTTGGCTTCTTCTTGTCCACAATACACATATCAATATCAGTCAGTATTGTTATGACAGTAGATAGTCATAGAGGCTTTAAGTAAGTTGTGCTAATAATATACATGTATTGTAACTCCTTATTGTGTGTAAGCGGACAGTTTTACACAATAGTGTATTTAAAATATTAGCAAGTTATATGCTTAAGAGTTTGCACAACGAAAGATCGAATTCTTAAACCAACCTGAGCATCTTTCAGCTGAGAAGGTACAGTGCACCTGTCATCACCAATATATTTACATTGACTGGCAGCTTCTTGTGATAATGATTTAGTGATTTATGATTTCAGACTAAATCAAAATACCAGGGCTACAAGCCTGACCTTGCAGTAATATTTGAAGACTCTTTATTGTCTACAAACTAAAATGTGAGTCACTTAGTACAGGCTTGTAGCACTGAGAAGAAGCGAAAAAGATATAGTTGAACATGACTTCATTTTGCTTAAACACCCAATGCCATTACTAGCTCTGACCTTGCATCTTGTCTAATTAAACTTCTTCCGAGTGGTTGTGCATGTGATACATTTGCTGTGATGCATGAAGTGATTTACCTGACCAGCCACCAAGACCTCATGTGAAAGGAGGTCCTAGGAAACGCCTAAAAGACAATTACAAAGGACAAATAACAAAATAATACATTATCCAAACTGTAGCCTAGACACAGGAAAATAAAGTTGTCTTCCCTTGTTTGGGTGGGTTTCCTCCGGATGCTCTGTTTTCCTCCCACAGTCCAAAGACATTCTCTATTATGTCTTTGTAGCAATGAGTGGCACCAGCAGCCATATCTCCCTGCAACTCACAACTGGCAACCCACTGAAGCTAAGCAGGTGTGAGCCTGGTCAGTACCTGGATGGGGAAACCTCCTGGGAAAAACTAAGGTTGCTGCTGGAAGAGGTGTTAGTGGGGCCAGCAGGGGGCGCTCACCCTGCGGTCCATGTGGGTCCTAATGCCCCAGTATAGTGACGGGGACTCTATACTGTAAACAAGCGCCATCCTTCAGATGAGATGTAAAACCGAGGTCCTGACTCTCTGTGGTCATTAAAAATCCCAGGGCATTTCTTGAAAAGAGTTGGGGTAATAATAATCCCCATCTATGAATTGGCTACATTACTCTGCTCTCCTCCCCACTAATAGCTGATGTGTGGTGAGCGTTCTGGCGCACTATGGCTGCCGTCGCATCATCCAGGTGGGGCTGCACATTGGTGCAGGTGGAGGGGAGTCCCCATTACCTGTAAAGCGCTCTGAGTGGAGTGTCCAGAAAAGCGCTATATAAGTGTAAGCAATTATTATTATTATTACTTGTATTTTGTCTTGCGCCAGCTGTTTGCAAGGATTGTCTCTGGCTCCACTGCAACCCAGTATTGGATAAAGTGATCTGAAAGTGGGTGGATAAACTCCTACCTATGTATGCCCCTTCTTAAAAATGCAAAAAAGCTAAATCAAAATTCATTAATTTTATTAAGCAATGATTTAACTCAGGGAGCAGTTCAGTCCAATAACTCTCAAAACTAAAAGTTTTCATTTAAAATAAATAGAATTTATTACTACCTTTTGATATAGTGTTGTTTAGAAGCACTTTTAAAAAAGTTCTCTAAATGTTAGACTTTTTAAAAGCTCATTTCAAGATTCTGTTTCTGTTTTCCTAACATATTCAAGATTTACTAATTAGCTTGTGTTCCCTTGAGGTGAGGATTAAATTGAGTTTCAATTTAGAAGGTCTAGTATGGTTCAGACAGTGGGTAGACTTTTTAAGATTCAATACTGAGCAATGTTGACTGTAGCAAAAAACTCTAATCCTTTTTTTAAGGCAAATTCTACAAATGTAACATCCCAGTGGTAGTATTATTCATCCACATGCTGATTTTGTTGTATGGAGGCACCTTTATTGGTAAGCAATTCACATACAGACAAGACCAGCCCAGGATGAGTCAAGCTCTAGGCAGCCAGCACTCCTTTTTCATAGAGCACATTTAAAAGTGATGGCTTCAGACCTTCACCTCTTGCTGCAAAGTGCTACACCCACAGCATGATGACACTAGCCCTCATTGCACATAGAATTGTATGTTGGAGTACAGCAGCACAGTAGTGTGGCAGTGGGTGCTGCCTCCTGGGCTCAATTCTGGACTAAGACATTTTTCCTGTGGCTTTTGCATGCTTCCTCCATGTTCATATAGGATTTCACTGGGGGTTCAGGTTTCCTTCAACCAAGACATGATGGCTGAGTTAATTGACGTTTTGAAATAGACTACAATCCCGTCTGCTGTGTAGTGTTTTCAAGCTAGGCTCCTGATTGCCACAGCCAGCCAAGGAATATGCAGCTCTTTGATGATGGATAGAGGGATACTGAGGTGCCATGTGCAGGTGATTATTTGTCATTGCAGGTCATACCGGTATGGATGTCACAGATGCCATAACCGTTGGTTAGTGGTTCATTTTGCACATCTATATTGTAGGTTATTGATAAATGGGGAGGAATTATGTTTACTAAAGAATCATACTGGACCTTCGCTGGTTAGCATCCTTGCTTTGTAGTCTTACTAAAGTTATAAAGTGACAAGCATGCACTTTTCATTACCATGGTTTCTATCGTGCTTTTCCTACTCCTTTATTTTTACCATGGTTTAATTATCTAAGATTTTGCAGCACGTGAACCTGTTTTTACTATGGTTTACCACACTAAAGGCTCTGGAAGATGAAAACAACATCTATATGGTTGATGATGTGGAATAGTGTGGATGCCATTGAAAAATCTGTCAACATGATCATCTGTTTGCATGGCAGTTCTTAGTTTTTGTTTTTAAATGATATTCTTAATTGTTTACTAAAATGAACCTTATCAACAAAGAATCAAAATACTTTCTTCACAGGATGTAGGAATTATTTTTTTATTTATCAGTGTCCACACTGTATATTTTAAAGCTGAACTTAAAATGCAG